ACACTACTTCACTTTAATTATTCGCTACATCAGTTCGATTTGAACTATACTCATCACTTTTCCCCACATTTTATCTTTATGAAAAATCTATATTTATGAGAAAAATTATGTTAAAGTTAGATTAAATTTCTATGAGACGATTTTACCTAACTCTAAAAGTTAGATAAAATCGTTACGTAAAGATAGAAATTGTTTATGAGTGATAAAAGGAGAAAAACAAAGTGTTGTTTGTAAGAAAGAAAATTTAGTTGTTTTTTTCTGTACAATGTTATCATACATGTCTTTGCAATATTTTTCGCTACTTCCTACTAATATCATAAATGCGAAAGTTTGTATGTATGGATGGATGTTGTATATCTATTCTACGCAGACGTAGTCGCCTGCAGCAGCTAGTCTTAAATATGTCCCTTGACATTGTTTTGATACATCACCAAACCGGTCATAGATATAGTTTCAACATTTATAGGGACTGAAGATTACTTAAGTATACTGATAACAGAGAGCCCGGAGAGCACTGAGCTTTGCTGTATTAACACTGGCATATATTTGTGTGTAATTAATTTTGTACATAAATTTAATTATCACTCAATTTCAGACAACGTATAAACTCAAATAATAAGTCGTGAACAATTCAAACGGAATCCTATTAATAAGTCATTTCGACAAAACTTCGCAAATGAACGAATTAAAAGCTAATTAGTAGAAATTTCGAGTCCAGCTGTTAATGGAAATTCGATTTAAAATAGAGCATCGATCAGGGTTCCACGAATGCGCTGTACAAGATAAAGTTAATTTCTAATATGTTTAAATAGCGAATATCCTTGACACTAGCAACCAATTAATAATTTCTCACTTAAGAGTTAGTCGTTAGGCACGAAATTTTAACCATTCAATCGTTTTTCTTAAACAGAAAACAGTTCTGGAAATTAAAGTGATTGTAGAGACTCGTTCAAAGCAAAAGGTTTAAACTGTATAATTTTATGAGAATTAAAAGATAACTTCAATAATAAAAGGTATGGCAATCTCACATGGCGCTTACTTTTTCGATACCCAGGGTCATCCAGAACATAAGTGGAGTTACAGGAGATTAGCTCTAGTATCCTCTTACTCTATCATATATTAAACAAAACTAAAATTATACGATATTTTCTCGTCCAAGATCGCCAGTGTCTAAAGGGAAGGGTTTATAGCCAATGTGTTTTGCCAGTGATGACGTATGCCACTCAGGCATGGCCTTTAAGAGCTAGACTTTAAAAGAAGCTCAGAGTCGCACAACAAGCTATGGAGATAGCTTTACAAATACAAATACAAAAATGTTTATTTCATATGCTTCGACTTTCTTCGTGTGATAAAATCCGGAACTAGGAAATTCACAGAAGAACAAGAATTGCTCACATAGCTCTCCGGATTTGCAAATAGAAGTGGTAATGGGCAGGCCATTTCGCTGGAAGAAATGATGACCGATGATCGGAAATAAACTTCTCGAGTGGCGAACACGAACCGGAAGACATGGCGTTGGAAGATCTCCCACAAGGTGTTCTGACGAAATCGAAAGAGTCCCTGTTGGATGCAAATGACAAAGTGTCGTTCGTTGTGGCGTTCTAAGGGAGAGGTCTTTGTTCAACATTAAGCTTCTTACGGCTGATGATGATGATACCTGATCAATAGTAAATCACTTAACTGGATCAATAAATACAGTAAAAACATTTATGTCTAATGCGATTAAATCGCGAGTGTTTTTAAATAAATTTTTACTGATATTCTCGTTCGTGACTTATCAGTGTAGTTTATTTTACAAGCTTTAATTTAACACAAACGTGTCAAAAGGGAAATATTCATCTGTGTAGTTTTAAATAATATTATATTAACGTTAAAATAAAATAAATTAAAAGTTCTACTGCGCTTCCATACTAATAATTATAATATATTGAGCTTTAACGTAATAAAATAAAGTTAAACGATAAATTAGTACTACGTTGAATGAAAATATCTAAAATTTTTCGGTCGAACACGTCTGCAGACTGCAAACGCAATATAGATCAAATCAAACACCACAGATGAGATTTGATACAAACTTACCAAGAAAAAGTGACTACTCTATGATGCGCTTTGCCAGTTCGTGAAGCTATTGAAATAAAGAAATACGCTAATTTAAATAGATAAGACCGTTGAATACTACCAAATAAGCTCCTGTAATCGATATAGTTAAATCTTAAGCGTTGACATAACGCTCTTTTATACTAAGAACCAATAATCATTAAATGCGTGGGGCAAACTAAAGATAAAATTTTAAAATTGCCGGTAGCGTGCGAAAACGTCAATCCAGTGACCACGAATGCTGCAGTGTTCGAAGTGCTAGCACGCTAAAATCTCATTATAGTTTTGCAAGCAGTGGGGATAAATGTGGTACAGCTAGAATTCAGCCAGAAATTCAATATTCATTATGTGACCTAATGTTTAATTACAGTGGGGCCGTAAATAGTTTGGACACTCCGACCAAGGCCACAAACAACCAACAACCGCTCGCTTTTAGTTCGAGCAACCCGATTCAAACCAGGTGCCAACACCAACGAAATTGACAATTTTAAATGATGATTTATCACGTCTTCAGCGGTGAAGGAAAACGTCGTCACCTGCATATTTTGTAATAATAACAAAAATATCATCTGGATGGGCAAAAAATAAAGAAAGCAATGATCTGGAATCGAAAAAAAAAGTAAAAAAATAAGTATGTAAATGACGTGACACGAAGCACGGCCTTCTGTTTCGGGGCCGCTCGATTACCGACCAAGCTGTTATAAATTTACCGTCATATTCGAATAATATTTTTCATTCTCTGAAAACAGGGATAAAAGGATTTTATAAAAATGAAACCTAGATAGATCGATTTTTCGCCCCCCAATTTACGCACATACAAAATTTTCGATTTTATATATATATATATATATATATATATATATACTAGAATTGCTCGTTAAAAGGATAACATATAATAATTTTTTAATTTTTTCAATATTTAGTTATTATGGGAACTAACTATAATTGCATGTCAATACTAGATGTAACCTTATTAAACATTACTGTATTTGAGTTGTGTGCTTCAAATGCCTACATATTTAGGTTTTTAACAGCGACATTTGGTCACTATGTTCTCCTGTCTGGTGCACACGAATCCGCATTTAGTCTGCGGTATTCCGTTGACGTGAACATAATGTTTCTATTATGGCTGTGCTTACATATCACTTTGTTTAAAAGGGAAAACATGAATACCATTATTAGCTTCCAAATATTGCCTTCAAGCTTGTTAGATAAGTCATTATACACATAAAAAATGAATAAACGTGTACTGTACTACGTACACTCGACTTGAAATGAAGCTTCACGCGCTTGCAACAGTTTTAAAACAGACCATCTGTATAATACCATCTAAGTATTCATTCTAATTTTGTACAGATATAAATGAAAAGTTAATGTGTCCTTCTATTGGGTGCCTCTTTCTTAGGGGTGTAACGTATGATAGCGTGATAGTTAAGGCTAAACGTAACGGTACTTGCGTTTTTAATATCTACGATTCGGTCAGGTCAAAATTATTTCTGGAACCAGCGTATTCTTGCAACATAATAATCTGCTACCACATACTTTAAATCGAATGGAGACATAAGGTTTCTGTCCTATGCTAATTAATATGTAAATATATACATAACTCCCTCTCAACATGTATTCCACCGCTTTTAAGGAAAAGGATTGTATTCAGGAACGACGTGCCAAGGATTTTCACATCGCTCCTTTAAATGCCAATTTTAGTTTATTAAAGGGGACGATGTATGCATACTTCATACTTTTCTGCTAACGCGAGTATTCACTTCACATGTACACAGTCGGATGTGAGCTAATTAAAAAAAAAAGTTTTTCCTTCCATACAGATGCACTGTAATCACCAACATAACTGTTAAACAAATGTTTAGAATGCCACAATCATGTACTCGTGAGAGTATTAGTGTTTTGGGGCCACAATGCACGGCCCCATTCCATTTACTTGCCCGTCACTCTTACGATGTCGGTCAACCATTGCTTCGTGTTCTGCTTCTGGCGTCATAATATATTAAAATTTATCTTTGGTTTCCTAAATTAGAGAAGAATTATAGATCTGCATTTTTGTACAAATATTAAGTTACGAACATAAAGAATGTACAGAGTAAATTCCTATGTTACATCTTTCTGCACCTGCCCCGCTGTTATTGGGGATATATAATTATATAAAATAATAATATACTATATAAAAAGTGAAGTAAATGAAATTTTACTTCGCTTTTTACTTTTATCTTTTTTACCCAAATTAGAGAACCTTGACTAAGCATCGTGTTTTAATTATGTTTTACAAAATAAATCCAGCTTACAGTATCAGCTCACGTGTAATTTATCACTTTTTAAATTGTTTCAATTACACTGTAAAATAATCCCACATTATTTTACAGTGGGAATGAAAACGGGAAATTCATTAATGGGACGGGTTTTCTAGTTAGTAATAAAGTAATTGTATTGTACTCAGTATCCTCCGTGTAAAGAGTACTTTTAAAAATATTTCAATCCTCAACGTATATGCCCCCACAGAGGTCTCAGAGGAAGACATAAAGGACCGCTTCTACGAAGAACTTGAAGTAGCGTTTGATCAAATCCCAGAGTATGATATAAAAATTGTCACTGGAGGTTTCAATGCCCAAGTAGGAAGAGAAGATATCTTCGTGCCCACCATAGGAAAATATAGCAAACACGAGAAAACAAATGACAATGGTCTAAGACTAATTAGTTTTGCCTCAGCTAAATCTATGGTTGTACGAAGTACAATGTTTCCCCATAAAACCATCCATAAAGGGACATGGAGACATCCTGATGGCCAAACGGTTAATCAAATTGATCACGTTCTGGTTGATAATCGCCATAAAAGCACGATAGAGGATATAAGATCTTACGGAGGAGCAGATTGCGACAGTGATCATTACATGCTGGGAGTAAACATGAAAGCTAAGATCAAAGTTGCACGAAAGTCCTGCGCGCCAGAAGACCAAAGCCTGGATTTAGAAAAATTAAAGAACAAAGAAGTACGTGAGAAATTTCAGCTAGACCTCAGAAATAGATTTCAGCATTTAGAAGTACAGGAAGATATTAACGATACGTGGGAGGATACTAAAAATACAGTTTTGAAATCTGCGCTGACAGTGATAGGCAAAAAGAAAAAGAGAAAGAAAAGGAGGTGGTGGAATGAAGAGTGTGAGATGGCCATGGAAGAAAAGAAGAAATATAAGGTTCTCTCCGAACAAGATAACAAATGGATTACCAAACATCAAGAGGCGTGAAAAAGGCTAAGGAACCTAATAAGACTAGCGAAAAGGAAACACTTAGAAGATCAATAAACAGATATGGAACAACTATTCAGAGCTAGTGAAAGTAGGAAATTCTACCAAGAAGTAAATTCTTTTAAAAAAGGATACCAGCCAAAAACGCAAACTCTAGAAAACGAGAAAGGCGACCTTATAACTGACTCGGAAGAGCTGAAGAAGAAGTGGCACCAATACTTTAAGCAACTACTAAATGGTCCACCTACAGATTGCCAGACAGTGATGGATCCCAGTACGAGCTGTGAAAGTCAAATTGAACCGCCGGACTTTGAGGAGGTGCATAGGGCTATTATGAGACTAAAGAACAACAAATCCCCGGGAATTGATGGGATACCGGGTGAAATTTGGAAGTATGGTGGGGGAGCAGTGCAATTAAGCTTAATTTACCAAATTGTAGCTAAGATCAGGAACGATGAACGCCAACCAAAAGAGTGGAATGTGGGAGTTATCTGCCCTATACACAAAAAAGGATCCAAAAAACAGTGTTCCAACTACAGGGGCATTGCACTGCTTCCATCAGCATCCAAATATTATCTTATATCCTACTAAAACGACTAGAGCCTTATGCTGAAACCATCTTAGGCGACTACCAGGCTGGCTTCCGGCGCAACAGGAGTACTATTGACCAAATATTTCTCCTAAAGCAGCTGATGGAGAAGAAATGGGAATACGCACAGACTATCCATATTTTGTTCGTTGACTTCATGAAAGTGTATGACAGCGTGGACAAAGAGGCCTTGTATAGAATCCAAAGGCACTTTAATATACCTGAAAAACTGGTCAATATGGTGATGGTAGCCACAAAAGTCAGCAGGATGAGAGTCCGGATAGAAAGAGAACTCACTGATGAATTTGAGGTAGTGACAGGCCTCAAACAAGGTGACGCTTTGTCGCCGTTGCTGTTTAATTTAGTGCTCGAATACACCATCCGTAAGGTACTGGAGTACGATGGGGGAGTAGAATTAAATGGCAAACATAAGGTGGTAGGCTATGCTGATGACCTGTCACTACTAGGAAAGTCCAAACAAGACCTTGGATGCATGGCGGACATCCTTAAGTTGGAGGGAGAAAAGATCGGTCTCAGAATTAATCTCGATAAAACAGAGTACCTACAGGTTAAACGCTACAACAATATCAGAGGAAAGCGGGATAATCTTGTTGTTGGTCAGGTCATCTATAAAGGCGTTAACCAGTTTAAATACCTAGGTACTACCGTTACTGCAACCAACCAGAGAGAGGACGAAATAAATATCCGCACACAAAATGCCCTAAGATGCACAGCAGCCCTGCACAAACTCCTAGTGTCCAAGCTCATTAGCATGAAAGCTAAGATACGTGTCTATAAGACGGTGATCAGACCTATCTTAATGTATGGCTGTGAAGCTTGGACACTGACGTTAAAGGAAGAGCATCAGCTCTTAGTGGCGGAGCGCAAGTTCTTGCGGAAAATTCTGGGACCGTGAAAGACGAGGATGGGAATTGGAGAATTCGGAAAAATAGGGAAATTGAACATCTTGTGTCCGAACCCAGCATTATCGGCGAAACGAAAGCCTGCGAGACTGCGTTGGCTCGGCCACTTGGAGAGGATGGGGGAGGATCGTGCAGTCAAGAGAGCATATATGGGTCAACCAAAAGGGAAGCGTCCTGTTGGTCGCCCCAGATATCGCTGGAAAGACGAAGTCCACAAATATCTGAGAGCTCTCCAATCAGCCAATTGGCAAGAAACAGCCCAGAATAGAGAGCAGTGGCGTCTTTTCGTGTCGGAGGCCAAGATCCTCTTTGGGTCGCTGAGCCAGCCAAGTAAGTAAGTAAGTTAAATTGTTTCAACAATGATTCAAATATCACAATGAATTATAATTTCGTACCAGTTAACATATCTCTCAAATTATTATATACCAGTGAAATCATCATAAAGATTTAACATTTTTCTTATGCAAAGCATTAAGTTGTTGACGTTTTATAGAACCTTAAGTTTTGATATTTTATGAGTGTGGCATTCAAACAGGTGGTTCATACAATTTTAAGTATATACTGCTGTAAATCCCATGTTACAATTTTATTGTTAACCTTTAGCTATATGGGCCCCAGTTACCACACTCATCAGGCTGGCATCGAATCTTTTGGATTCAACAATTTTACGGTTGTCAGGTGTCAGATGTCACGCAACATCTACGCTTTTATGCAAGCCCAAGGAAGCCCCATGATCCTGGGTGCAATAAAATTTGCGTTTTGATTAAAACAAAAATCCGAAAGTATTATTATTGATATTTGTAGTACTTGTTTTACTGAGTATGTATGTTCTATAGACGAGTCGGCATTTTATAACAGCCTAAGTTTGTTGCATGGCTCTATTACAATAACAAATAATCTTTGTGACTCTATAGTCTATACTCTATACAGTTAGTTGTTGTTGACACTTGCGTGAAAGTTTCTGACATAGATCCAACAACGTATAATAGGAACACACCCAAATTATTATTACTATGATTGTTTATTCGCGCATGTTAACACTCAAGTGTACTTTTACATTTTAAATTAATTCTGGAGTTGCTTTTTAATAATAGTTGGTTATAATTTAAACACATTGTTACATTAAATTTACATTTGATATATATAAACCTAGAGAAAAGAAGATTATTTTCTAATTGGTAGGTTTTATATATAATGTATTATGAATATGAAGTGCAATTGCGAAATCCGTAACTCGAGTTATAATTGATCTTGCTAACTAATGGAACCTGGAACATACATTTCCTAAAGGCGAGCGGAAATAGTTTTGTTAAAAAACAACAACAGGAAATAAAAGTTTTCAACTTCCTGATCGCACATCACTCTAGAGGCTCGTTTATCCATAAAGTTTATAAGTTAGACAGAATAAGTTACACGTTTAAAAAGTTTTTTAATGTTTTCTCTTAATATTATTCTCCTTTTCTTTCGGATTTTGCGATAATCTAGGATAATTTTATACCGTAGAAGACGAATTACGTAGCGGTAAGAAAAAATACAGTAAATTCATGACTTTTAAATAATTAGATACCGCACTGAGAGATCAGGAGTAATGAAAATGCAACCAAATGTTATGAAGTGCTTTTAATTTTGAGTCGTAAGCGAACTTCATAACTTGTTCAACATCATCAAATTTTACCTTTTCGTTATTTCAATTTAACGATGTAGATAGATATACACAGTGATTGTTTGATCCAGTCAATCGTAATATTTGCTGTACTGATTGATATTGGGGTTTTATATTGTGTATTGCTGAATGTTTTGTTTAAAGCAAACATTTAAAATAGTTTTCTGATGGAAATCGTCATTGTTCCATATGATTCCTGCTCGAAAAGGTTATTTTCATAAAATGAGTAGCGTTAAATATAAATTTGTTCAAATAATACATTTATTCATGAATATTAATTGGGGCTCGGTTTTCAAATATATTCAAAAGCACTTGGAATCCTAGAACATACAGGAAACGCGGCCCATGTGCAACTTCGGAACTGAATATACGTATAGATTCTAGTAAATGTTAATGAATATTTAGCGTTTATTACCTCGAATAGGAAATATATTCCGTAGCATTTTCCATTGCCTTATCTAACTATGCCGTGTGATGTATGATTTTAATTCCAATATCTTTAACAAGGTATACAAATTACCTCAAATTATTGTCGCATCAGCAATTTACCAGAATCGACAACAGTTTACCTTTCGTCAGGAACTCTCGCATTCTCAAAACTTGCAGATTCCATTGAGAAAACTTACATGAATTACTTACGTCTCTGTTCAGAGGGCATGACTCACTAGTCCTTGCCTCAAAAGGAAAATAACAAATTACAAGAGGGCTCTTTATACATCAAACACGACACGACACGGCACTGGATAATGAAGGAAAGGAACTGCCTGATGTTCCCTGATGAAACCTTCCCTGATGCAAAAACTCAAAGCTGGAATTAAGAATTCAGCAGAGCTCTTTTCTTCAAACATGACTATTGAAAATCCCTTGATACTCAATACGAAAAGTAGAGGTAAATAAATAACAATAAAGGTAACAGAATTCATCCACTTGGCCATAACTACACGTGCGACAAAAAACTATCATTATTAACCTTTTACTCGTATATAGTGCAGTTTTTAATTTATTGTCAACTTAATAAAATAATATTTACTAAAATGATCTACCTCATAAGAAGTTGGAATTACAGGATGTATATTTCCATCCATATTTAAACACAGAACTTTACAATATTTATTCCCGTTTTTTAATAAAATCAATTTGCTGTTTATTAATTAAGACTAAATTGATGATGTGCCACTCCTTCGAATATGATTCCACTAAATAAAAATAATCACCAAACTGAGTTGAAATGTTAATCGAATGATGTATAGAGAAGTATAATATTACTTGCAAATGATGATTGACGAAGTATATCTTTTCAATTTTGAAAATCGTCATCGTTAGTCTGTAACGCTGTCCAGATAACATATTTTAAACCCTCTTTATAAAGTATGTATTTTCCCGAAAGAAAAATTCTCTTATCGATGGACGAGTATAGTTTAGAATGTACAAATGAACAAGGAAAATTTATTTCTTCATTACTGGTACTAATTTATGAATTACCAATGAAGTAATTTATGTAACAGAATAAGATATATAAAACAAAAATTTAAATTATCACACACTGGTTAATACTATGTTATCCAGAAAAAACACACCTGCAAGCCAGACGTTCAGTGCGCATGTCGTCTATTTGCACATGCCTATAGCGATCTACTTTAGCAAGCCACTGTCGATTCTCGGCCGAGTTGGAAGCCGACGGGCGGCGGATACACTCGTCTGCTTCCAACCCACATGAATGGGTTATATCATTTAATAGTTAACAATATGGTTTTCATGTGATTTTTGTGATCAATTTAATTTTAAATAAATAAAGGATAAAGTAAGTCGTTATACATGCGAT